TTATCAACGCCGACGCGATTCTGAGGAAAATTTCACAAGTTTCCAACTGTTTAATAAAATCAGTTCTTATTGAAATGTGTTTTCTACACTGATGCTGTGTGTCAATAATGTAGGAAAGAAAGGGACACAACTCAGACAGCACTTTATTATAGAGTCATAGAAAACAGTGATAAATCTCTCTGATCTACACCAGCAGGCACAGCGGCCGTTAAAAAATAAAAATAAGAATAAAGAAATGGAACTTACCGATTGTAGATTTACCTGAAGAAGAAAAGTGTTACTGCACAAATATCCAGCCAGGCTGATTGAACAGAGACAGAAAGAGATAAACCTGGCGCGGCGGCCATGTTGTAAAGAGAATGGACTCACTGTTCGTGGATCTTCCTGAAATAAAGAAGAAGTTCGTCCAATGATTGTCGCCCTTCAGTTGTTTTACACCGCTGACCTTTCTGCAGTCAGCCACATTGTTCACACGAAGCAGCTTCTCTGTCAATAAAAGAACAAAGTTAGTCTCAATCAAGTGAATCAATCTTTTTTATTTTTTAAATTAAATTGACGTATATAAAAGCCCTGTGACATCACAGTTTGTATGTAGGTGTGTGTGTGTGTGAGTGTGTGTATATATACACACACACACACACACACACACATACACACACTATGACTCATCAGGTTTTTAAAAAATATTCAGTGCAAGTAGAACAATACATTCCATAATAATCCAGTCCATCTGAAAATGACACTCACAAGAAAACTTCCTTTAAAAAGAAATCTGCAATAAAAGTTTGGAGCTGAACTGTAGAATCTGGGAGATCTCCGAGACGTGACAGAGTCAGAGCCGCTGGAGGGTTTGAATCTCGTCACCATGAATCCGCTGCAGAGGGACTCCACTGTGAGACAGCGTGGACACACGTGGGGTCTTCATTTGAAAGACACCGAGACTGAAGCCTCCGGCGACAGAGACGATCCTTCCTCACCCAAACCCTCCGTGCGCTCGACGCGTCGCCCTCGGGGATTAGACCAGTCCTCCTCGGCCCTGGACAGGTGTCCCTCACCTGAGAGACGAGTCCAGCGTCACCGGAAACACTCTCTGCTCAGCGAGACCCCCCCGGAGTCTGACGTCACATGTTTACAGGTAGAAGGCGCGCGCTGTGATGCGTTGAAGGGTCAGAAAGTGTCGGAAACATCAAACCTGTCCAACACATCTAATCTGTCCAACACATCTAATATGTCCAACACATCTGACATGTCCAACACATCTAATCTGTCCAACAATCATATTTGACCAAACTCAATAATTCTGGGACTGCAAACTCACTCAGGTTTAACTCATTTAATTGTGCAACACTCTATCTGTGCAATTCAATTCAATGGTGGATGTTTAATCACATTAAACTGTATATATCCTGTTTACACCATTTCTTTTTCATTTATATGTAATTGTCTTTATTTTGCAATGTCCCTGTTTATTATGTTTTTTTTTTCTAATTGTATCTTTCATATACATAATGCACAAATACAGTTTGGATCCTCGTACATCAACCTGTGCTACTCAAGTTAGTCTCTCTACAAATAATATGTCTGACTCTAGTGTAAGGTTCATATTATGAGCATAATGTCTTTATTTCTATTTTTCATATGTTTCTCTTATCAATCTAATTTTAACTATCTGCTGCTGCGTTTCCTTGACCTTGGATCATAAAGTTAAATAATAATAATTTATCTCAATCAACAAAACATCTTATAAATCTGTGGTTGATGTTGATCTGGATGAATTTCTGAACAGACTTTAGACGTATCACTGTTATGGCTAACAGCATCGCTGGATGTTCAGGTTTACAGCTTCTGTGATGAAGTAATATTTGTAGTAATTGAGGAAGAATATGTGTGTTCTGCGTTTGTTTCAATATAGATAGAAAATATTCCAGGGACCAACTCATGTGTGTCCCTCGGAATAATTTGACAAATCTTATTCCTTCAAAGTCAAAGTCAATTTTATTGTCAACCCTACAAGAACAGATGTCTGATCCGGTGTAAACACGTAAGTAGACAGAACATGTCAGTACTGAACACATGGTGCTCAGCACGACACGGAGAGGTAACTTAGTTATGTGGAGAAACCAACAACACGTGAACAGTTAATGAATATTCCTCAGAAATATATGAGACATTTAAAACAGGTACACACAGCCCACATGTCTGATCATTGTTATCAACGTCCCCCATCTGAGAGCCACTGCGGTAGCTTAGCATCTAAGCTAAGCAGCAAACTCCGCGTGTCGGTGTCGCTGGTCTCAAACTCAGCTAGATTTAAAGCCCGGATCATCTCAACCCCGCTGCGCCACGTTGTGACACAGCCGAGCAGCTCGTTGATTCGTCGCGGGGACAGATTCATGAGCCGGAGCTGAAGAATTCTCGCCGAGCCGCCATGTTCGTGCCGTGTTGACTTCCTGACAACAGAACGTCACTGCACCGCGGTGCATCGTGGTAAATGTAGTCGAGTGCGCTGTAACTAGGCTCGTCTCTAACCGCAGTGGGCTGATGGTGTCCCAGACAACATGTCTCCTGCTGTCACTGAGAGACAGAGACCCAGAGGACAGACACAACCCGGCCCCTCACTCCGCCGTCTCCCAATTCCTCAACGTAGTTACGCAGCAGAACTACAAGTCCCACAACCTGGCGTCATTGCGTGTCACGTTTAGCAACAACCAGTCACCGACGGAAAAAAACAGCCGCTTCCGTGTTGTTCTTGTGTTATTTGGGTTAAAATCAGTCGTCGGCGGCTCCGGGTTCGTCACCGTCATGGTTCTGTGAAGCTCCCACGCACCTCCCGACCTTTTCCAGCCGAGATGTCGCTGCTGCAGAGCTCCAAGAAGAAGGACAAGCGCATTTTGTCTGGAACCTGCCCGGACCCGAAATGTCAGGCGAGGCTGTTCTTCCCCGCTCACGGCTCCGTTAGCATCGAGTGCACCGAGTGTGGACAACGACACGAGCAGAGGAACCTGCTCAGCGTCGAGGAGGTGACGGATCCGGATGTCGTGCTCCACAATCTGCTCAGAAACGCCCTGCTCGGTGTCACCGGGGCCCCGAAGAAGGGAACCGAGCTGGTGAAGGTGATGGGGCTCTCGAACTACCACTGCAAGCTCCTGTCTCCGGTCCTCACCCGGTACGGCATGGACAAACAAACCGGCAAGGCCAAGCTGCTGAGGGACATGAACCAGGGTGAGATGTTTGACTGCTCTCTCCTGGGAGACAGAGCTTTCCTCATCGAGCCGGACCATGTGTCCACCATGGGCTACGGCAAGGACCGGTCCGGGAGCCTCATTTACCTCCACGACACCCTGGAGGAGGTTAAGACAGCCAACGGCAACAGAGAGTGTCTCATTCCCGTCCATGTAGACGGAGACGGGCACTGCCTGGTCCACGCTGTGTCCAGAGCGCTGGTAGGCAGAGAACTGTTCTGGCATGCGCTGAGGGAGAACCTCAAACAGAACTTCAAGAAGAACCTGGACAGCTACAAAGCCCTGTTTCAGGACTTTATCGATGCTGCCGAGTGGGAGGACATTATCAACGAATGTGACCCCCTGTTCATCCCGCCTGAAGGTGTGCCGCTCGGCCTGCGCAACATTCACATATTTGGATTAGCCAACGTCCTCCACCGACCCATAATCCTGCTGGACTCCTTGAGTGGAATGAGGAGTTCTGGGGATTATTCAGCCACCTTCCTGCCCGGCCTGGTGGCTGAGGAGCAGTGTCGGGGGAAAGATGGGAAGCTCAACAAACCCATCTGCATCGCCTGGAGCAGCTCCGGCAGGAACCACTACATCCCTCTGGTGGGAATCAAGAACACGGTGCTGCCCAAGCTGCCGGCCCGGCTGCTGCCGAAGGCCTGGGGTGTCCCTCAGGAGCTCATCAGGAAATACATCAAGCTGGAGCAAGATGGGAGTTGCATGATCGGCGGCGACCGCAGCTTGCAGGATAAATATCTAATGAGGCTGGTCAATGCCATGGAGGAGGTGTTCGTGGAGAAGCACAGCATCCACCCAGCGCTGGTGGCTGACGTGCACCAGTACGTCTACAGGCGGACCGGCGTGATCGGCATCCAGCCCGAGGAGGTGACTGAGGCTGCTAAGAAATCAGTGATGGAGAACCGGCTGCACCGCTGCCTGATCTGTGGCGCCCTCTCCGAGCTCCACGTCCCACAGGATTGGCTGGTTCCTGGTGGGAAGCTCTACAACTTGGCCAAATCTACACACGGTCAATTGCGACCAGACAAGAACTACAGCTTCCCCCTTAATAATGTGGTCTGCTCATATGACCCCCAGCGAGACGTCCTCATCGCAGATTACAAACTGAGCTCCCTCAACACCTGCAACTGGTGTCATGGCACGTCAGTCCGCCACATCCGTGGCAGCGGGTCAGTGGTTTACTTGGATGGGGATAGAACCAACACCCGCTCTCAGGGGGGCAAATGTGGATGTGGGTTCAAGCATTACTGGGAGGAAAAAGAATATGACAACCTCCCTGAAGCCTTTCCTATCACGCTGGAGTGGGGGGGTCGGGTGGTGCGAGAGACAGTGTACTGGTTCCAGTATGAGGCAGACACAGCGTTGAACAGCAATGTGTATGACGTCGCTATGAAACTGGTCACCAAGCACTTTCCAGGGGAGTTTGGTAGCGAGATCCTGGTGCAGAAGGTGGTAAACACCATCCTGCATCACACCGCCAAGAAGAACCCGGATGAGTATAACCCAGTGTCCATCGATGGGGCTCATGTCCAGCGTCTGACGGACACCAGTGACACTGAGCAGGCGGCCGACCCCCAGCCGCCCACTAAAATCATCCTGACCGGTCAGAAAGCAAAGACGCTCCATAAAGAGGAGCTGACGATGAGCCGAGCTGAGCGCAGCATCCAGCAGAGCATCAGCGAGCAAGCCCTCGTTACTCAGAGGCGACGGACTGACAAGTTGAAGCAGGAGCAGAGAGGCCACGGCCGGACGTCTTCCCCAGGGGGGTCTCCAGAAACGTCCTCCTCTTCGGCTCCAGCCACGCCCACCAAATCCCCCTCCTCTTCCAATAAGGAGAAGAAGATCCGTGTGACCACCAGTGACGGCAGGCAGGCCATGCTGACCCTGCAGGCTCAGACCACCTTCTCAGAGCTGCAAAAAAGCATCGCCAACCAGTTTGGCGTGCCGCCTCCACAGCAGTGCATCCGCTACGGCTTCCCACCCAAAGAGCTGGTCCCACCGAAGGACGGTGAGGAGAACGAGCCCATGGCTCTGCAGCACGGTGACAGAGTGTCGGTGGAGATACTGAGGGGCCCAGAGGACAAGAGCCCCTCCGCCTCCATCCCTCGAGCCTCCAGCTCACACGCCTCCCTGCACTCTGTGAAGAGCGAGGACGCCGTGACATCCGGCAGGATGAGCACCCGGGAACTGCAGGACAGCATCGACCTTGAGATGTCCTCCCTCTGTCTCCTGGCAACCTTGATGGGTAAGAACACAGCAGCGTGGCACATGCAGCGCCCCCCCATCTGCAAGTGTAACCTCTTAAAATGTTTTATTGGTGAACACAGATTTTAATCCTGGTGATGTTTGATGACTCTCAAACTTTGTCAGATGAACTATTGATTAGTGATTATTCTGTTTATTATTTCTTAATTAAGCAGCAGAGCTTCACATATTTAAAACTTTGGTTTAAATATTGTTTACTTATTTTTAGGTTTCATTTCAGTTGGTCTAAGCAGTTTCTGTATCGTGGGTCATAGAAACATCCTGAACAAAGTCACCCAGACTCTTCTGATCCATGTCATCAATGGCCTCTCATGAAAGATGCTTTTGTTCTTTACAGTGAGACGGTTCGCTGCTTTCCTTTGGTCCAATACACAAAAGATATTTGTCCAACAGTATAAGGAGGTTGATAGAAACATTTTAATCGATTAAGAGATGAAGTAATCACTGGTAAACCTGTGAACCGCTCCATCTGATCCAGCAGATGTGTCAACATCTGGAGTGAGTCTGTGTTTGTGTCACAGCGCTGACATGTTCACACTGTACACGTCCCGGTGTGTCCTGGCTCCTGATTGGTTGCAGCAGGCAGGTGAATAACAACCTGCAGGCATCGACCAAGCAGCTGAATGAGCTTACAGGAAGCTGTGTAGGCCCATCACGTTTCTAATCATCTACCCTGAATGTTAGACAATTGTGTGTGTGTGTGTGTGTGTGTACGCTGCGAATGTGCTGACTCAGGCATCTCACCTGCCAACAGGGTCAAAGGTTGCGGTTGCATTCAGATAAACAGATCAGCAGACCAACAGGCAGCGTGACAGAGAGCGTCTGTCGATATTCAGGAAGGTTTCATCAGCACTCAGGTCTGACGCTGCATTTCCTGTGAGCTGGAGCTCATATTAACGATCGTGTCTGAGAAAACACAAAGCGTCTGCTCATCAGTCTGTTTCTAACCCGAGCTCATACTTTACACTTCACACAGATGATCAGCACTAATGTTGTGTTTCACTCCCCTGATGTCGATTCTTCTTTCTTTACCTGAACTGTTTGTGTCGCTGCACCATCAGAAAAACCCACACATGAAGCTGAGGAGTAAAATATCCCTGTAGTCATGGACGAAGCCTGAGACTTCGTTCCCTCTGCTTTGACTCGTCCTTGTGAACTTGTGTGAACTCTCTCTCTCTCTCTCTCTCTTCCAGGTGAAGATGTTTGGTCGTACGCAAAGAAGCTGCCGCACTTATTCCAGCAGGGTGGCGTCTTCTACAACATCGTGAAGAAAGACATGGGTGGGTTGGTTGGATTTTTAGATGAAAGTGATCATCTGCTGATTCAGTCTGATTCTGTTGGTAGAAAAAATAAAAACCACTGATGTTTCTTAAAACCTTAAGTTGCTCATTGAATTTCAATCTCCTGATTCTAGACGAGATACAGATTTGTTGTTTGATGTTGTGTTGTGATCTCTCTCTCTCTCTCTCTCTCTCTCTCTCTCTCTCTCTCTCTCTCTCTCTCAGGCCTGATGGACGGGAAACACTGCACGCTGCCTCACCTGACAGGGAAAACGTTTGTTTACAACGCAGCAGAGGAGCGTCTGGAGCTCTGTGTGGACACTGCTGGCCACTTCCCTGTCGGCCCTGATGTGGAGGAGCTGGTGAAGGAGGCGCTGGTGCAGCTGCGCTCGGAAGCGACCACCAGGGGCAGCAGAGAGGGCAGTCCGTCACACGGCGTGCTCAAGCTGGGCAGCGGTGGCGTCATTCGTAAGAAGGAGCAGCTGCAGAGCGTCAACGCCTTCCAGGGTAAAGGTCACTCCCTAGGCAGTGCCGGTGGCTCCTCCCCTCCAGAACACCGGCCTATCACTCGCCAGCACAGCAGCGGCATGGACCTGAGCGCCAGTGTGTCCAGAGGTCCACCAGACCTGTCGGACATCCCTGAGGACGCCACCAGGGAGCTGGTCCGGATGGCGCCGGGCTTCGTCACCATGAAGGACAGTCGCGGTCTGGACCCCAGCCTAATGGAGCAGCAGAGGAGGAAGCTGCAGGAGATGGTCTCCTCCATCCAGGCGTCCATGGAGCGCCACCTGAGAGAGCAGCAGAGTTCCACCGCCACAGGGGGCGGAGCCAGCCACGATCTAACAGGAGGGACTAAGATAAGCACGGGCCAACCAACACCTACAGCCAGCCATGTACCTCCAGCTGCAGCAGAGGCCTCTTCAGCTGGCAAAGCAGGTGAGACACCAGAGGATCTGGAGGAGATGGACAGCCAGGACTCCGGACAGAGCAGCGCCACCGAACCTATGGATCACTCCTGATCACTCCGGACCCCCACCGTGCTGACCCCGCCCCACCTGGCCAGCACCTGTGGGTCATAATGCCTCAGGTCGGATCCTAAAGCTTCGGTTCTCATCGTGTTTCTTTTACTGCATGACTAAAGAGCAGCCGGCCGCCCTCACCTCTCTGCGGACTCTGGCTGGAGTCGATGAGGCGATAAATGTGACGTCTGTGATACATCATCGATACGTTCACACCATTACCACAGTTCTGTTGCAGTACTGACGCTGTTGCTGTGTGTGTTTCAACTCTATGCACTTTGGTACACACTCAGCTGTCCACCCCACAACTTCACATAGTCAATAATAAACGCAGCTTCTGATTTATTAACGCGTTTGAAAGAAATTCTTTTGGCTTTAAGGAAAAGTTTTCCCTCTTTATTTGATGATGTATCATGATCGATGGTCTCACAATATCTCACAGAGTCTGTATGACGACAGAATCGTATCTAAATCTCTGTGATTCTCACCTGCAGACGTCTGATCCTCACGATAAACAAGAAGCGATAACACAAGAGGAAAAACCCTCGCTGTGTGTGTGTGTCTGTCTGTGTGTGTCTGTGTGTGTCTGTGTGTGCGAGCATGTTGAACACCTGTATATAGAAAAGTCTGTGACTCTCGACCTGTCACCAGGAGGATGACTGCTGGTTCACCGGCAGCGTCGTGTCCTGCGAACACATTTCTGACAAAGTACACAAGCTTCCACACGACGACAGCTGTCACTCAATCCAGCTTCAGACCAACCTACACCACCTACTGGTGAGTAACAGCTGCTGCAGTTCAGACACTAGTGCCACCTGCAGGTAGAGGGTGTTACTGTTCTTTCCCACGTGTTCTTATCGTCTCTTAAAGGAGCAGTACATAAATATTTGCTAATTGCTATTGGACCGTCAGCACCAGCTGCAACATGCAGCAAGTTTGAAACGTGGAAAAGGTCTGAGTTAGTTTACAGCTGTGAGTCATGTGCCCTCTACCCACAGACACGTCGGTACTTCTATGTTGACATCGAACGATGATGTCAGACCTGAGAGGAAATGTGTTTAAAATCATTCGGAAACATTTTCCTACGAGCTGACGGCAATGACAAGTTTATTTTCACCCTCTCTCACAGAAGAAGGAACATTGGAGGATACACAGTAGAATAAGTACACTTTTGGTTATTGGCCTTGATACAAGTGTTGGTTGGGCTCATGTTGGTACACACACACACACACACACACACACACACACAACCAATGTAAGTTGATTTGAATATCTGAACGTCGCTGTTATTCAAATCCATAATGTTGAGCCTGGACTTGAGACTCTTTGTCTTCAGATAACCGTCTGTTCGGTCTCAGCCCTGGTCCTGCAGGTGGAGGGAGAGATCACTGATATTCACATGAACAGCGATGTTCCATTGTATAAACAACAGAAATGAAAAGCATTCTGCTGTCACCCTCCTCATTACCTGCTTGTGACAGTGTTGGACTTTCAGCACCTGTGGACTAAGTTGTTCCCTCGAACCAACGCAGCCTCTTCTCTTCAGAGAAATCTGGAAAACAGAGGAGCAGTCAAAACTGAACAGCTCATCATCGCAGGGGACGAGAGAGCTTCGACAAGAATCTGTGTGCTGCCTTCCTTTAGTCATGTTCATGAGGCAACAGCAGAATGTCTCCTCATTAACAGTTTGGCTTTGTGAAGCAGCGTGCTGCTCATTTTAAATTGAAATTTCATACTTTTCTGATCTTGATAAAAAAGAATGTGTTGTTTTTTACCCAGAAGCAACAAATGATTTTTTTGTTCACCAGGAGAAACGACAAGGGAACTGGTGGAATCAGCAGCTTCATGATTTGTTCAAACAAAAGTCCCACGTTTTACACACCTGAACACAGAGACTCCAGTAAAGGAGGAGTTGGACATGTGGAGGAAACACTTGTTCTCCTGCTCAGATTGAGCTCATGCATCAACTCTGGTGTTTAGTGTGTTCTATCAGGACAGTTTGTACCAGACTGTGGACTCGATGCTAAGCAGCTCTGTGCTATGTACAGATTTAAGAGTGGTATCAATCTGAACATCCAACTCAAGAAAGAGAGGAACTGATATTTGTCAAAGATCAAAATGTTCAGACTGAATGTCTGTTTACACTTTGGTTTCCAACAGAACGTCTCTGTGTTGCTGTTGGAATGATGAGGTGTCGATGGAGGAGCTGATCCTCAGGCCTTAAAATCAGTTTGTTCAACACTGAGGTTCTTTTGTCTCAAACTCCGTTTGACCTTTTTATTTTCTGCTTTGGCTAAAATCTCAATCTTCAGTCAACACAATCACAGTCCGTGGGGTTTTCAGCTCTGAGGTTTGTTTTGAGTCGATCAAATGAAAAGTTGGATCTTAGTTTGAGAAAAAGAAGAAATGATCATCACTCAGAGACAGAAGAAGACACTGGTGCAACAGAAGCTTTTCTTTGTGACTGTTGTACTAAAGACATGAATTGTAATCCACTTGTATAATAGTATATAATGTAGAATATTTGGACTTGTACAGAAACAGATGGTTCAGTTCCTTCAGCTTGTTCTTTCTTCACTTCTCTCTGGTTTGCTAATAAAATATTTAATGATTCCCGGCTTCAACATCGCTGTTTGCATGTGTGAAGAATTTTCAACCCCACAATAAAATCACTTCCTTCACATGTTTGTGTGTTTTGTAACAGAAGCGTTTGTTTGAATGTGGGAGCAGACGTGTCCTGATAACAGTTTCTGTTTATTTCACAAACATTAGACATCAATAACAACAAACTTCAGAAGAAGCATTTTAATTTGTATTTAACTTCTAGTCGGATTTAAACACATTGAATGTATAACACAATAAACAAATCACTTCTGAGGTTTTTTTACTTGAGATCATTTTGTCATTTAGACACGATTCAGTTTCTACGACTGTGGACAGCATATATATAATCGATGAACTGTGCGCACCGCTGTAGCTGTATATTCCTTATATATGTCCTGTGTGTGCAAGGGCTCATTTCACCACTGATTCAGAAAGCTATGTCTCATGTTCAGTAAGTAAACAACTTTTAATCTGTGGATTTTCATGTTTTTCTAAAGATGTGTGAATAAAACTTTTCCCACATGTGTTGCAGGTGTACGACTTCTCACCCGTGTGGATTCTCATGTGGTCACTCAGGCTCCTTTTGGCTTTGAAACATTTCCCACATGTTCCACAGGAATACGGCTTCTGACCTGTGTGACTCATCGTGTGAAATTTTAGTAAAATATCACGTAAGAAACATTTCCCACATGTTTCACAGGAATGCAGCCTCTCACCCGTGTGGACACTTTTGTGTTGTTGTGTGTTTTCAAATTCAATCTTTTTCCACAAGTGTCACAAGAAAACGTCTTCTCTCCTCTGTGGATTCTCAGATGTGTTTTTAATCTGTACTTAGTAATAAAGAGTTTTCCACAAGTGTCCCTAAGGTTTAGCTCTATTTCTCTAAGAGCTTCACCGGGTTTCTGTCTCCTCTGGCTCAGGAGGCCTCACATATAAGACATCTGCTGAATCAAGTCTATTTAGAAATGTTTGAATCCTGCTCCCACCCACAACCAGACAAGGGATCATATCAATTCCAACACCGGACAAAGACCCAAGATTTATAGAGAACCTGATACTCTCAGAGACTCAGACTACAAACTGCCAGCTGACCCAGATGTGTGTTGTAGTGCAGGTTTGACATCAAGGTTACATCAGTAGTTACAGGCTGGTCACTCTGGGCTGTAATCGCAGTGTGCATCAGTTCACTCTCTCCCTCTCTTGAATGTAAATGATGACTCTGGAGACAGTTGAGTTTCCTGCTCTTTAATCCAGCAGAGTTCAACATAAAGATGTACTTGTGTGTGTGGTTCTGCAAATGAAAGCTCAATCATAATAAAGATAATTACCAACATAATAAACCCAATTAATCAGCCACAGGTATGCAGTAGCCTTTAGCTTAGCTACAATGCACAAGCTAAAACACAAGCCAACAAGAGATAAAACAGTCACAAGGATTACGCAACTCAACAAAGATGCAGTGACGAATAAACAACAAACTTACTTTGGTTTGGACGCACACACACACGCACACACACAGACACACAACAGTTCCAACTGTACAGCAGAGTAGCACCTCAAAATAACACTGAACTTAAACTGAAAGTGAGTTGCTCTCAGAAACGCGTAGCTTCACTCAGCCAAGTTTATGTTTTAGTCAAACGAGTTTCTGCTCGTTACTTGAACTGGTAAAAGTTATTGTACAAAGCACATGGCTGTCGGCAGTATGTGGTGTAGTGTCTATGTTCTAAGTATACAACACAGAAGCTTTATAAAAGAGCATAGTAACTAGAAATGATAAGGATTAATAATACTTACATGGTTATAGCATTAATCAAAAGTACAGCTATATTTTGTTACACTGGAGAATTCACTAAGGGTAAAAAACATTTGCTTTATTCTCCTAATTGAAAGTATGTTATTAGAATTCCTCCTTCTTTGTTAAGTGTGCTGTTACTGGTTATCCACCCGGAGCTAGAGTACATTAGAATCGTCAGATCATAACACTGACATTAACTCACAGTCTGGGATTAAATAACACATGTTTTAATGTTTTAATGTGTTTGGTTAATGAACAGTATGACGGTTTGTTCACCAGTGTCCCACTGTGAACTTGAAGCTGTTTGTCTGGGACCTCGTTTGTGTGATTTAGTTCATCTTAAAAGGTACATTTGCAATTACATTCTGATTTATTTAAATGCATATTCTCCAAATCCACTGCTCTGGTCTTGATCCTTTTGTGCTTCATGCACAGTGGACGTTTGTGGGTGGGGCCTCTGAGTGGCTCTATCACGTGACGGGGGGGGGGGGGGGGTGATGATACTTGGAGCAGAGACTAAATATACAACTTTTAAGTGGGAAGTTCTAACCTCTCAATATTTGTTTGTATTTCACTCACGGTTCGTCGTCGTAACAACATGAAATGATTCTTCAGCGCAGTGATTTAGAAGTAAGTAGTAAATAAATGGAACTAAATAACATGAAATTAAATAAAACAAAAACATCCGATTTACTTTTATTAACCGTGATGATGTAATTAATATATGTGTGATTTCTAGACACAGTTAAATATTTGTTGTGCTTTCATCATAAACTCATTCTACATTTAAATGACAGCAGAGCAACTGTCAGGTAGAAGTACTGCACTATCCAGTACTATCAAGTGGATTCAATCACACAAMACAGAAAACAGATGAAAGGACAAGATGGAGGCAGAGAATCAAAGAATCAAAGTGGCGGGATGACCACACTCGTACARCTGAGGTGGAGAATATAAATATTAAAAAGAAATAGTTATTTAAGAGGCCCATCACGTTGGTTTGAACGAGGGACTCGATTTGGAGGCTCACAGTTGTTTCAGAGAATCATGAGGACGAACTCGTCTCCACACGAGCTTCGTCTTGATGGAGTTTTCTGTGTTAACTGATTCTCAGCTGTTCTTTCAACTGTGTGAATTAGAAACACTTTTAGCACAAGAGCTGTGATTACGTGGCTCTTCACTTCTGTGGCTTCTTGTGTGTCGTGTCCACGAAACAATACAACTGCTCCTCTCCCACATCTTTACATGTGATTGTAGTGTTTGTGATCCCAGGGGACTTCCTGACTGGGACACGTCTGATTCTCTTTTCCATCAGGTGTTGATGTGGTTCTTCACCAGTGAGGACTCTTCTCACGTTCAGTCAATTCACCACCACGTGTGAAATCTCTCCCACATCTTCAGGAATTAACGACTTTTCATCTGTGTGGATTCKAATGTGCTTTCTTAAGGATGCTGCATGAATGAAGCTCATCCCACACATGTTGCAGATATATGGCTTCTCACCCGTGTGGAGTCTCATGTGACCTCTCAGGGCAGACCTCTGTTTAAAATTCTTCCCACATATTTCACAGAAAAACGGTCTCTCGCCCGTGTGGCGGCGAATGTGCTCTTCCAAGTGAACCTTCCGAGTAAAGGTTTTTCCGCAGAAGTCACATGAAAACGGCCTCTCGCCCGTGTGGACCCTCAGATGAAGGGTCAATCTGGACTTGCAGAGAAAAGCTTTCCCACAGGTGTCACAAGAATACGGCTTCTCACCCGTGTGGGCTCTCATGTGGACCAGCAAGTTTGAATTGGTCAGAAAGGTCTTCTGACAGATTTCACATGAAAACGGTCTCTCACCCGTGTGGAGTCTCATGTGAACTCTCAGGGCAGACCTCTGTTTGAAATTTTTACCACATAGTTTGCAGAAAAACGGTCTCTCGCCCGTGTGACGACTAATGTGCTCTTCCAAGTGAACCTTCCGACCAAATGTTTTCCCGCAGGTGTCACAAGAAAACGGCCTCTCACCTGTGTGGGTTCTTTTGTGAGTTCTCAATGCAGAGTTGTTGCTAAATTGTTTCCCACATGTGTTGCAGGTGTACGGCTTCTCACCTGTGTGGTTTCTCATGTGGATCAAAAAGCCCAACTTAGAGGTGAGAAATTTCCCACAGGTGTCACAAGAAAACAGCCTCTCTCCTGTGTGGATTCTCAGATGTTGGTCCAGTTTGGACTTAGCATCAAACACCTTTCCACAAGTGTCACATGAGAAAGTCTTTTTACCTGTGTGAGTGTTGCAGGGACTCGGTGTTGGGGGACAGTTGTTTCTCTGGGACTCTTCATTTCCAGTGGCTCCTGGGTCCACATGCTCACGTCCTCTCTGATCTTGGCTCTCAGCTCCAGCAGAGCTGTGACAGAGGAGCTGCTGCTCACTGTTTGCTYCTGGTTCACTGTGCTCGCTTCCCTCATAAGTAGACGTCAACATAAAGGTCTGGATCTCCTGCTTCAGCACGAGCTGCTCTCCCTCCTGACTGGTGCAGAGCTCCTCCTGCTCCTCTTTAATGTGTGGAGGCTCTGGACCAAGAGGGTCCAGACTGGGGTTCCTCTCCTGGTCAGTGAGAACCTCCTCCTCTTCCTCCTCCTCCTCCTCCTCCTTACAGACATGTTGCTGAGGAAACTCTGGAGGAACAAAGAGACACAAGAAATCACTCGTGTGATGATGGAGAAAGAACCAATAAAAACAAGTTCAATCTTTTGTGTTTTTATCATTCAGCTTGTCCTCACCTGTCTGTTGTAGCTCTATCTCAGGTTTCCATACGATATTAACAAGTCTGCACTCATGATCATTCTCTTCATTGAACTTGCTAATATTTCCACTGACTCCAGGTATTTCTCCAGCAGCAGCAGGGTCCTCTTGGTCCAGACTGGAGTTCCTCTCCTGGTCACAGAGCTGCTGGGCAGTGAGAACCTTCTTCTTCTTGCAGACATGTTTCCGTGAGAACTCTGGAAAAATAAATGGAAGAAATAAATAACAGCAAGTGAAAAAAGCAGAGAGATTTATTTGCGTTACACAAAATGTAAACTGTGTTTTAAAAGTCTCTAATCGAGTCCAGAACTGACTCAAGTGTGGATGTTGTGGTTTTTGAACCGGGGCCTCATTTATAATCGTCATGTAGATTCAGAAAGACACAGACGTGAGGTGATGAATTTAAAATCCACTTCAAACATTAAAACCTGCCGTGCTATTTGTGCTAGAGAGGCATAACCTCAATAATCCCCATTCCTCAGTGAGATATAGAGCAACATAAAGCAAACACCACAGAGTATCATGTATTCTGAGATGTATCACAAAGTTTTACATTACAGTCACGTTTCAGTGTAAAATGGTAAATGGTCTGTATTTATATAGAGTTTAGTCTTGATGACCACTCAAAGGGGGGGGGCACTTCGACGTGCAGTATGGGTGAGACTGGGATTGAACTGACAACCTTCAGATTAGAGGACGACCACTCTCCCCCTCAGTCACAGTGATCACACAGCCATCAGGTGACCGTCCTGAGGGTTTCCCTCTTCGAAGCGTCTTTAATATTAGTTCCCTCTTTGAAATACTATTTTTTTTATCACCTGAGTATATTTGTACTATTGTTTGATATAATTACTCAACTGCTGCATTTTAATGTTGGTTCTCTATCGTGAGTTGAGCCCTCATCGCTCCTCATCGCTCCTCATCGCTCCTCGTGCTGCACCACCCTTAACTACCCTGGTGTTCATGATGACCAGCAGGGGACGCCCTCCATTTTGTGCATTGTGTTAATTGTGCCACGCCCCTAGAGGCCAGGTAAAATACTGCATGTTTGTCACCCTGATGAAGCTGAGCTGATACGTGTTGATGTATTTTAAAGCTTTTTAAGGCCTTTTGTTTTTTCAGAACACTTTGATTTCCTGGACCTGGAATCTTTATGCCATTAATTTAGGACATAAGTCTCCGTTGAGCGTTTGATCGTCTGTTTATTGGATTTTGATGAAGCTCGACTCGATTCGCAGAACTGAAAAATCAGCTGTTGGACTGAGTTCGTCTGTGACGTTGAGGAGCTGCTGCTGGTCACATGGTCACTGAACGTCTCATGTCCACATTGCACTTCCTTACTTCACAATATAGACGACTCAGACATAACATGAACGATATGAGAGACACGGACAGACAAGCACGTGTGTTCAGTTCCATCAGCATCTGTTGTCCTTGTGTCCTGGGAGACAGATCCTCACATGTGAGTCTCTGGTAGTTTGACTCTGGTTGTTTAAGAACAGAGGACGTTGCTGCCTGTTGACATCAATGAGACACTGAATATGAGACAAATCAAACATGTACTGAACTCCAGAGAATCTCCAGACGTCCTCTGGAGGACCTGTATGTGACAACGCAAGTGTCCAATTGAGGCTCTAGAGGTT